TGTAAATCACTATGCAAAATTAAAGTGTTAAGACATAAAATAAAGTGCTTGGACTCTGGAGCCTTATAGACTCGGACATTCAAATCCAGTGTCTACACCTTCCTTTATTTACTTTTAAATATGTTTTTACTGATGATTTTTAGAGAGAGAAGTGAGAGGAATAGAGAAATAAAAACATCGATGAGAGAGAAACATTGATCAGCTGTCCCCTGCACATCCCCTACTGAGGATGGAGCCAGCAACTTGGGCATGTGCCCTTACTGGGAATCGAGCTGGTGACCTCTTCGTTCATGGGTAGACACACTCAACCAGTGAGCCACACCAGCCAGGCTGCACCTTACTTTTTGCAAATTACATAACTTCTCTGAGCCTCAGTTTCCTTGTTTTTAAAATCAGGAAAATACCACCTCCTCTGCAAGGTTACTATCATGATTAGGGAGATAACATAAACATGTAACATAGTTCCTGGTACATGTTGAAAACTCAGTACATAATGGCCATTTTTATAATTGTATAAATGAAAAACAAAAAGGACTTAGAAAAATAATTAGCTGAAGGTCATATTTAAGTAGCAGAGTTCGAATTAAAAATCAGATGTTTGATTCAATATCTTATCCTCTTCATTTTATTATGCCTCCTTAACTACAAAACTAAAATTAATGAGTGGCAGAATCACGACCAGAATTTAGGTCTGCTGACATGGAGACATAAAAGCATTTGCAAGTAGAAAAGTATTAAATGTAAGGATTATCAATGAGTATGGGTCAAAGGCTAGACAAGGACATGACAAATAGAATAAAGGTACCGAGAGAAAAGGCTCTCAAAGCAGAGCTGTGACAAGCCAAAGATGTGAGATAAAGTCAGGATGACTTCAGATTCCTCCATTCCTAGAAGCTTCTAGGAGTAGGCACCCATAGCCTGGCCCTCCTCTCCAATCACCCTAAAAGAGAGGCCTTTGTGCATCATCCCAGCTCTGTTCTCTTCAATCTTCCTAGTTTTCAATAGTGGGTTTTCAAATAAGCATTGTAAAAAGGAACTTAGAAGATAAATACACATTGTTAAAAAAAAAATAAACTCACTTTAAATTCTTGTTTTATCACCTACCAAAAAAGTCAAAGACAAATGTGGTTTCAGCATCTGAATCTAAATATCCTGAGTTGAAACCCAGTCTTCTATATCTTTGTTTCTTACTATATTTTGTGATTTATCCCATAAACTTTGATATATTTAGGGTGCATTATTTCTGATACTTTAGAGAAAATAATATTCATTCTATGGTTAAAGTCATTAAAAATTTTTCAGTATCCAGTAGATAAAGGTATAACCTCAATATATAGTTAACAATAAAACTATTTATTTTTAAATTTCAAGAGAATAAAAGAAATTTACCTCTAATACATCAGAAGTGATAAGTTTCATTACACGATCATTTGGTTCCTTAAATTCTTCCGTAACTGGAGTGCGCTGAACTTTTTTCTTCATTCTAAATGACAGCTATTTGATAAAGAATGTCTTTTAAAGTATATTTTTAAATATGGAAATAAGTAAGACAGCAGCAAAAATTGTTTATCAGTAAACATGGATGAAACAAAAGCAGCACTATGTACATAAAATAATCCATTTTTTAAAGACTATTAGAGATAATCCTTTTGAGATAATCCTTAAGATGCCATGCCAAGTACTTACAGATTCCGATATTCAAAGAAGTTCCATATTTGCCAGCTGCTGGCAGAGCCAGAACTAGAACCTAGTGCTATTCTAATGTAGTTTCTCTCAATTGTCATAAGATCATAGAGATATCATATTTTATTAGTGGAAGTTTCAACTTTTCACCAACTGACATTAAAATTCTTTGGTCGTCTTTCAGCCGTATCCTCTCTGATGTTTGAATAAAGAATGAACAAATGCAGATACTGAATTTAATGTCTTCTCCTAACAATCTGCCTAACAGATGGCATTCGGAAATGCACTGCATTTAAAAGCAGAGCCTGAATTTTGATTGCAACAAAAAGTAATCAGGAAGCATTTTCTCCTATTTTAGGAAGCCTTTCTACAAGTACTGGAAACTATAAAATAATCTTTCCACATTATGGAGACTGAGGCACTTTATGGACAATGAAGTATAATTTCTCATTTTGAAGAAACAATTTATTTTAGGTAACATACCAATTTGGGCATTGCTGTAAAGTGAAATGCTTTGTCTAGTCGTAGCTTCCTAAAAATATAGGCTACATCAAAATGTTCCGAATTTATCAAATCTTGTTGAAATTTTAAAATTTCATCCCAGTCCTTCAGGGCAACTCTAATCTGCAAATAAGAGAAGCAAAAAAGTCGTTACTAAATGTAAATCTTCTTTCACAAATGTTTTATATTTTGAAACACTGGCATTTCTGTATACAACAAGTTTGTTACAAAAATATTGTACCCATTTAGTGTTTCTGCTGGTGGAAAACAACTCATCAAGTATTACCTTTTGTTTTGGTTGACACAGTTGGGTGTTATATAATCCATACAGCAGATACAAAGCACCCACTCGGATCTGGAAGGCATATGGAGGTAAAAAATATCGCCAAGCCAAAGCTAAAGCTTCTTTTGTAAATGTGTTCTTTTCTAAATTTCTCATTTTGCCACTAGAAAACAAAGAGAAAATATGTTACGACTTTAAGTTAATAAGTAATGAACAAAAATTACAAGAGGTATATTCTAACAGTTGCTAGAAATTGGGTGGGCGTTCCACATCTAACCCCTTCCTGATTCAAGCACAAAGACCTAACCTTTGGTTGTATTTCCTCCACTGAGGCATAGGTAGGTGTACACTAGGTAAACATGATGCATCTTCCTAAAGCATCAATTTGACTTGCTGAATTAGGGAGCAAAGGGGGTGGGGGATGCATATTATTCCTGGTTAAGAATTTATATCCTATATAAAAAAGCCTAATATGCTAAGTGTCCAGTTGTCCACTCAACCAATCAAAGCGTAATATGCTAATGATATGCTAAGGATGCTCAACTGCTCCCTATGATGTGCACTGGCCACCAGGGGGCAGAGAGTCGACCGGTGGATCAGTTGCTATGATGTGCACTGATCACCGGGGGCAGATGCTCCCACCATTAGGATAGCTTGCTGGGGACTGAGCGAGATGAGCTGGACATGCCCTGGAGTCCTCCCACAACCCCTCCCCCCTGCTGGCCCAGCCCCCAATGGGCCCCCATCAGGGCAGGCCAGCCAGACCCCACCCTCTAGTATCAAAATAAGCACGATTATGTTACAGAATAAAATACACAAGCTACATGTATTTTAATACATAATGGATATTTTCCCCAATACTCTCAGGGATTCACACTGAACCTCGTTTGTCCTTGGGACACCTAGATAAAAAAAGTTAGAGACTATAAATACATCCCACCCCCTCCTTTCAATTCTTCAGGGCATCATTAGGTAAAGAAGGAACAGGAGCAGGATAGGAAAGTATACTCCACTTTACTCCCAACGCCTGGGCTCTTCAAATAATAAATACAATAAAAGAACGCAAAATACCTACTTTAAGGACAGGCAACCAAAGCAACTTCTAAAGAAAATCCCCTACTCCTCAAGTGGTCTATATTTTTCCCCTCACTTTAGTTTTTTCTCATTAGCTAAAAAATGAGGTAACCCCAGCAAAATGTTCCTGAACTACCACATTTCCCAAGAGGATTACAGTGAAAGATAATGGGTTTTGCAAACAGGCAAACATATAGGTTTCCATATCTGCTTTACCATCTACTTACTAGCTGTGTGATCAGGGAGAATTACTTAACCTCCTTAAACCTCATTTTCCTCATTTATAAAACATCCATTATACCAGTTTCTCCGAGTTGTTCTATGGATTAAATACATTAAACTATAAATGCATTATATGTAGTAGCTATTAAAAAATAGTCTCTCTCCTATCATTAACTGTACAACAAGCAGCTCTCCACCCTCTATCCCCTGCAATGTACAAACTGCATAGGTAATTATTTTACATCAACAGAGAGAAAAAAGATAACTTTTACATTTTATTCAGCAAAGTTTTAATCACAAGAACTCATTCATTCAATTACTTAGCCTTTTCAAAATTATATGCATTATGCTAAAGGATACCAGATGCATCCAGTCATTGTCCTCACAGAGCTCTGTGTAATGGAGGGAAAAATCTATATAATAAAAACAGAAGTGACCAACCGGTCACTATGATGCACATTGACCACCAGGGGGCAGGTGCTCAACAGAGCTGCCCCCTGGTGGTCAGTGCGCTCCCACAGGGGGAGCAACACTCAGCCAGAAGCCAGGATCATGGCTGGCGAGTGCAACAACGGTGGTGGGAGCTTCTCCCACCTCTGTGGTAACACTAAGGAGCAGTGAGCCAAGTGGTAAGGAGCAGCGAGCAGGTGGGCAGTAGGGAGCGAGGAGTCCTGGGGTGTGGGAGGGATGTCCAACTGCTGGCTTAGGTCCGCTCCCCATGGGAAGCGGGCCTAAGCCGGCAATTGGACATCCTCCAAGGGGTCCAAGACTGTGAGAGAGCGCAGGCCCGGCAGAGGGCCCCCACCACCACCACCAGTGCATGAAATTTGTGCACCAGTCCTCTAGTTTAAAAATAATAGCAATAATGAACATTTACTGAGAATTGGGGTGCACTTAATATGTATTAATTAATTAGCTCATTTAATCCTCAGAAATATGCTATGAGGTGTTACCATTGTCCCTCTTTTACAGGTAAGGGAGCTCAGCCAGTAACTTACCAAAAGTCACAGTAGGTGGACTCTGATTCACATCAGGCAGGTGGGCTCCATAATCTGTGCCCTTAAACACTAATACTGTCTTTTAAAACTACACAATTATAATAAAATGCACTTAAGTTGAGAGATAAAATAAGCAGAATGCTATAGGAAAAAAAGAGCAGTACCCCTTACTTAGCCTAGAAGGGCGAAGGAAGGCTTCCCTGAGGAACTGTCATTTGAACTTAAACCTGGGTGAGGAATACAGTGGCCAGGCAAAGGGCGTGGGGGGAAAGCTCCAGGCTGAGCAAACGCCCCGGGTGGAGGACCACAAACACCGGCAGGGCTGGAACGAGAGCGTGCCTGGAGGGGATTGGTCCATGAACTGCAGAGAAGGGAAGAAGCCAATCACAGAGGGTCTAGCAACCACGTTAGGGAATCTGAGCTGCATCCCAAAGGCCACAGAAACCACTGGAAGGTTGTAAGCAAGGGAGTGATGATCCAATGGGCACTTTAGAAAGAGAACTCTGGTTGTTATAGGTGAAATGAATTCAATCGTGCTTTTTGTCTTTGCTTGGGTGTTTCTTTTGTTTTGAAATATGGGGGCTCTAGAAGAACCAGCCTGGAGAAGGGCAAACGATGGGGACTTAGGTCAGGCTGGGGCGGCGTAGATGAGAGGAGGGTTGAAAAGGGCGGCCAGGCAGAAATCCATATTCGGGAAGAGGCCGCAAAAGGATGCAACCGAAGCCAATGAAATCGCCCAAGGAAGGCGCGTCACGGGCGCACTAAAGACCCGGGAGAAATGGAGGTGGATTCCAGAGGCTGCCGCTGCTCCAAACCCTTCCCAGGTGCGGCGACGGGAGGCGGGAGGTAGGCGGAGGGAGGAGGGCTGCCACTACCTACGCCGCGTCGGAGCGGACGTGGGGAGAGAGAGAGGCGGGGGCGGAGAAACACCCACCAGAAGATGGTCCCAAACTTCATGCTCCTCCAGAGCGCCGAGAAGTCCTCGAAGCGCACGCTGTCCGTCTCCTGGAAGCGGCTGAGCAGCTCCTCGCAGTCGGCCTGCAGCCCTGGAAGGGCCGCCATGCCTACAAAGCCCGCGCACTCGGCTAGCGGTCCAGCCCGCGGTGGTCGCCCAGGAAACCCAGCCCGGACACCCCGCCTCCGACGACGTGACACCCGCACGCGCTCCGTGACGTCATATCCGGCTCCTTTAGCGCCACCTCCAGCCGGACAGAGCTACGGTCCTCGATTCTTGCTGCGCGTGCACGGGAGTGTAGCGTTCAACTCTCCAATAATACAAAGATTAAAATCAGTCCTTGTCATTTCTTTGAAGATGTGTGCATCTCCAGTGTCTTGTGAGCCCAAGAAGGAATTAGGTCTGCATTAGGCTAGGTTATGAAAGCTGACTTTACCCCTACTATCACTCTCCCTTAAAGTGGCAGAGGCACAAAAGTCAACTTGTATAGCTAGGGGAACAGTTCAGAGCCTCAGCCCACCCCCTGGTGGCCAGAGGGTCTAAAGAGAGTTTACTAGAATAATGAACTGGACTCATGCCCTTATAGACTCTATAACCACACAACAGGGAGCTGTGTGGCGCTCTCCTTGGAGCCCTAGCAGCCTTCTGCAAGCACTCTTGAGAAACTGTTTTGTAAATATCTCCCCACCACCCACCCACCCCTGCGCTACAGTGCTTAACAGAAAAAAATTATTTTACAGTATATGTACTTATTATGTGGCTAAATTGGCTTTCTGTGTACACTCCACCTAGCTTATCCCTAGAGCTAGATGTGGAGTAATATTTTGTACTGTTCACCATTTCTCTGATTGCAGGGCATGCTGTTTTTATTCTTTAGGAGAGGTATTGTAATACGATAGAAAAGCCTATGGCCCAGCCGAAGCGGCTCAGTGGTTGCATGTGGACCCATGAACCAAGAGGTCATGGTTCAATTCCGGTCGGGGCACATGCCTAGGTTGTGGGCTCAATCCCCAGTGTCGGGCATGCAGGAGGCAGCCGATCAATGATTCTCTCTCATTGCATCCTCACATGGCCAGAGGGGCAATGGAAATTTCTGGAGCCTCTTTTATAAGGGTATGAATCCTCTTCATGAGGGTTCCATCCTCATGATCTAATCACCTCCCAAAGGCTCCCGCACCTCCTAATTCTAACTCTTGGATGTAAAGTCTCAACATACAAAGTTGAGGGGACACAAACATTCAGAGCAAAGCAAACATCTTGGACTCACTCAACCCTCAGTAATTATTCATTGAATGGATTTCATTGGGAGAGCTAGAAAATGGTTGGCAAGAGATAAATTCTGCAATGTCCTAAATTAAATTACAGTGGATTGGAGAGTGGGAGACAATGGAAGCACTCAGCTAATACGTGTGCTAAAACTAAGAAAAACTTCATATTCCAGAATGTTTGTCGAAACTCTGAATCAACCAGACACCACTGGGTCCTTCTTTATGAACTTTCGGACCCTTACCCACAACTAATAAAAACATTAGCAAACATGTCTTCCTTATGGACTAGGCACCTATCCTAGAACTGCCTCTGCTTCATCTTTTCTTCACCCTACCCCTTTATCTACAGTCAATGTCAATTCTTTCAAAAACAACTTACATCTCTTTTCCCAAAACTCATTGTATGAAAGGGTTCCATCAGCTCCAGAATGGCAGACATGTATGTCTTTTCCATCTGGCCCTGCTGCTGCTGGTTTAGACTGTATGTCCCAGGATCTGGCCATATGGCTGGCATATGGCTCAATAAACTCTTTCACAGAAGTTTGGGGCAGTGAAGGTTTTTGTTTAACATGGTCCTGAATTCCCTATTCTGCAACTCGGATAGTAATTCTTTTCTGGTCCCCATGTCACATGAATTCTCCCACCTCAGTCATATGTGAGTTGTCCTTGCAAACAGAGAAGGAGGCTTTTGTAACAAAGATGAATCAGATGGGAAGTGTGCTCTGATGGAACTCTTGAATGTAATAGGGGAGAAAAGATATATAAATGATCAGAGGATGTAAAAAATGAGCAGTGAAGTAAGAAAGCTGAAGTTTGCAGGGGTAGCAAATATTGGCAGTTGACTTTGACCAGAGACAAATTGGCTGAGCTGGCTCCTCACTGATTTGCAGCATTAGCTGGTCATGTCGGTTAGGGTTTTTTTTGTTTGTTTGTTTGTTTGTTTTGTTTTGTTTTGTTTTTTTGCTTTAAATAGTCTACCAGCAGATAAGGCAGTGAGGCAACAGTTTATAATGGCTCACCCGGCAGCTAGTTTAGTGCTCCTATGAAAGTTTGTCACTGCAGTTGTATATAGAAACATTGAAATCTATTTCAAAGACCAAATGTTATCCAGTAATATTTGGAAAGGGATCTCTACCTAAAATAATGTTTCTTTGATGTTTTACTGTTCCAAAATCTTTAAAAAATAGATTTGACTTAACAGAGTCTAGTTTACTTGCTAGGCTATATGCTTTCTCAGTGTTTTAAAAGACATTACCCGTTGTGATTAAACACTGTACAATCCCCTCACCCCCATCCCCACACACACCCCAGTTGTTCTTCTCTGTGGAGAATCACCATTTGATAATGATTTATTAAGTATTCACAAAGCCAAAAGAGTTTATCACTCTCCTTATATGGCACCTTTTTAATCAAACATGCCATGATTGAGGCTACCGATCAGTTCTTATTAGTAAAATATATATTTAAAGCACCTTGACCACTTTAAAAAAAAATAGACCAATTACTTTCTGGGAAATTCTATTTGAAAACCCATAAACAATAAATTTTCCTGAAGAAAATAATTTACAATAAAATGTCCATTGTAGTCACCCGTGACTATGCAGAGGTGAGGTTATTTATTCTAAACAATACCTGGCCTTTGTACTTTACAAGGAACTGCACAATCCTAACACTAATCACAGCCCCAAGCTTTTCTGTATCCATACACTCACCTCCTTTCTGTCCATCAAGATTATCTTCTCCCAGAGAACTCTCAATATCTGGCCTCGATAAGGTGCAGGCACACAACAAATTAAAAAACAAAACAAAACAAAAAAAAAACACGACAAGCAAATCAACGAAACAAAACACCTGGGGCAGCTAAACTCTCCATTTCCTTCATCTGAGACACCTCCAAATGCTTTATTTAAAATAAACTGCCTTTGGGTGCCTTCAGGGGAAGATATTTAAACAAACAAACTCCTCTATTTTTTATCAAATTAGTGGGTGACATTAAAAAAAAAAAACCAAGCTGTTTTATAGGTAACCAAGGTCCAACCTGTTAGGAGACCTCGGGTATTTTCTATTCTACAAAGCACAGCTTCACACCCCAAAGCATGAGACTGGCAATGTCGGAGACAGTTCCATGGCAACACCTATTCCTCGCCGACCGACCACCCATCCAAAAGCCAAGTTTGGGGAAGAGCGAGGCACCAGAATTGGACAAGTCACCTAAGACCAAGAGCAGCGCTGGCCCCTCTTGTGCCGGCCGGCCTCCCAACATGCGCTCACACACGTAGGCAGCAGCCGGGAGTAGGCGCGGGGAC